TCCAGCGACCTGGAGTCAAATCTTGCCCGTGCAAACATGGTGTTTCAGTCCCTACCTGATTATGTGGGTTCCCCCGTAGTATTCTTGGTTTTTCCTCTGCCGCTAACGCTGAACATTGCTTCATTGCCTTCTCTCCTCAAGGTTTTTCATCCATTCATTCATTCATTAGTTTATTTCATTCTTATGGCCCAACAAGCCAAATTTCAAGAATGTTACATATTATAATCAAAATAGATGTAAAATACATTAAAATATATCAAAATATATCAAGCACAAAACCATTTATAATATATATCACAATTATAATTATTAAAACTAATAAACGATTAAACGAGTATTGATCGAACCTACTTTGGCGGGTTGAACTGAGTTTTGTTCCTCTATTGTTGCATGAATTCCGTAAGCCACATGGCCCATGTGGATTCTCTAATTATGAATTTAATAAATTGATAATGATAATAATTGATAAATAAAATGAAAATGGAATGGGGTTATTTTTAAAACGGTTACTTCTACAGGGTAGCAATGAAATAGAATGAGATTTATGCCAGGTAAAGGAGGTACGGCTTAAGGTTTCTTCAGGCTTTGGGGGCACAATGCCCTTTTTGCAAAATTTATGTAAAAAGTAATAACCTTAATAACAACATTTAAGCCTCATTTTTAAAGTGTGATTTCTATCCAAAAGCCTAAAGGCAGCTCAGAAGTATAAATTTGACTTCAGTGATTTGTAAAACTTAAGGGACAGTTAATCTCTACGTTTTGAGGGATGCGAGTTTTTGATCAAGCACAAGACATTGGTCTGAAGACAGGAAAGATTCTGAAATAAGAAAAAAGGGTAGCCTACATGGAGAGAAGGGGGAAATGTTTAATCCTGGTCAGACAGCTCTCTCGTAGCACCCTCCTTCCCCTCCTTATAGAGATGGATAAGCTGCTGATAAAAGCAACTTGCAGTTAACTTCAACAAATAAATGGCCTTTTCCGCTGATATTGATGGCTTCCTGAGTGCTCTTATCTGCATTCATCAAGATCATTTCCTGAATCCATTTTGATTCAAGTTTCAGCTGTGCTGGATCTTCTAGTGACATTAGGTCCATCATTGGCACTCCTGGGGTTACTGATTTGAGAATAGTCAGAAATGATTAACAAGTCTGGAGTAAGTAAGAAGAGCAGGTGTACACATGAAGAGAGTTAATTTTTAACAGTATTGCAATTTAAGTGAGGTGTTAATCTCAGTGAAGTGGAACACAATTTGGTACCAATAATGAGTTTAAATTTCAAAAGGTAGCGGTGACTTCCCTCTCAAATATCTTCAAACACGACAGACTTGTCACATATTTTAGGTCACAATAGTCAGCAAGAAAGCTATGCTAACCTTAGTCTAGAAGCTTGTGCTAACCTTGCAATGCCAACATGGCTAACACTTTTTGGGGGGGAGGGGGATTTCTACTGAATAATTTACCTCTTGCCATTTGCGAGTTAGCCACGCCCCTCAGACAACCCTATTTTGTATGTTGAGTTTTGTTCGTCTCAGATCTTGTGCATTGTGTCCATTTTGTAGATCTTGTACCGGTAGTTAGACAATGTTTTGTAAGCTACATGTACATTGACACGATTGTACCACAAGAACCCAATTGGTTTTGCTCTTTGCAAATGTTGCTTGTTACACTTTGTTTACTGAGTGCTTTCTAACAACTTAGGAGAAAAAACTCCTTCGCTTGCTTGATTTGTATTACCACAGTGCAGATTCCAGCCAACAGTTACTGACTACAGTTCATGCTGCTGTGGATTTACAGAAACTTAGAAAATACAGTTGAATGTATCAAGCTTGATTGTTGAGTGGTTATTTAGACAACTGCTCTTGGTAGCAACATGTAATGGGCTTGAGTTCCACCTGAGTATGCTTTTGGAAAGCACCAAGTGATACAGTGTTTCATACATGTGGGTTAGATTGGCAAGGGAGGGGAAAAGACGGTATTCACATCATGCCTCTCTGGAGAAAATTCCATTGAGATTTCTACTGCTGCTTCACTGTTTGGAACAGGCGTGCTGCCTGTCTTGGTTGTGCTTTCTTTGCCATGCCAATGCAATCTCCATGAAATGAATGGCATAGGCTTTGTCAGTTCAGCCGTGGAATTCAGAAATGAAGTCGTGATGAAAACGGCGGCATCTGCGTCAATCCCCCAGATAATGGAGTTGGTCATCAGATCAGACCTTTTTTTTGAAAGAAAGTCACTTGGGGATCTTAATATTGAACACTTGCTTGCATGCATGATTGGCGTCATTGAGGTACACTCTACAGTACTCTGGTCAGTGGTTTACATGAACTCGTAGCTCACACTTTTTGTAACATCTTTCGATATTTTCAAAACATGACATAGCAATCACACCAGACTTTTGTCATTTTGATGAGAGTGGTTTAAAAAGGCTTCAAAATTCACATGAATCTCCTGGTGATTAGAAATGGAAATAAAATAGCATAGTAGATTCATGATTGCAGAAACAAAATCGTTCATAAATTTTATGCATGATTTAACAAATTCGAGGATTTGTTAAAAAAAAAAGATTTGGTACGTAGTTTAAAACTTGTATATGCCATGCAAACTGGACTGCCTTTCTTCAAACTAAAATTTCTGTGTTTTTATGAGAGTGACTAGCCCATGTCGCTTTGCTAATTTCGTCTGCATTTGCATCGACATGATTTTGTTGTTCTTCTGTTCTGTATTTGCAGTATGTCTTTGGCTCACTGTTATCAAGACGATCCACATACATGCAGCTCATCAAGGTCTGGAAGAACGCCGTGGCATCCACTGAATTGGAAGAGGTAGGCCTTCCTCTACACTGCCAGACATCTGCTAGTGATTTATGTCCACAGAAGTGGATGAGACTGATTGGATTAGGATCAATTGTCTAAACAGTAGGATGCCCCAGTGTAAATATGAGAGCCTATTTCATCAGGATTAGAAATTCAAGGTCTCGTCATCATCAGGATAGAAGCATCATTTGTTCGTTTCACTGCTACGAGAACCTTACAGACATCTGACAAATTCTGGCCTACAGACAGTCTCTTAGGCTTGTGATAAAGTAGGAGCTTCTAAGAATTTTATTTTTGGATATTTTTTTTGCTTTCACTTCAGATCTGCCTCGTTTGTAAAGTGAGTTTGGCTGAAGAATTTAGTCTCAATGTGTTCCTTCCATGGACTGAACGCACTAATCTAATTGCTCTCCCATGGGTAAACTGGTGCTGGATTGTAGGGAAATGTAGATGTAATTACATGGAGGCATTGCAGTGTGGTTGGAAAAAAAGAGTTTTAAATGTCACCTAGAGTGTTCTGTACAATACTCACTACTCCAAACATGCTCTGTTAACTATAGTGGAGTTGCCATGGGTAAAATCCTGTCAGTCATATGGAAGGAAGATTTTTTTTTAAGGCTGACAAAGCTTGGTATGGCCTGCTATGTGCTGCTCCCTTGTCATCTTTTTCAATGAAATGCCATCTTCACGTAGATCGTACTAAGAGGTAGTGGCTAATAATGGAAAGAATTTTTAGGCCATTTTTAAGTATTAAATTCATTAAGAGGAGAGGATGAGAGGAGAGTGGTATAGACCAACAAACTACTGTAACAGGCATACCAACAATGTACTCTCACATGGCTACTTTGAGTATAGAGCTGCAGAACCATTCTAGCACGGAGCCTATAGACCGATCCATTAAGCCCTGCCCCGTTGTTTTCTGACCAATCACATCACTCGTGATTGATGTCCGACACGGGTACACAAAAGTCCCACATGCATGTACGGCTGGAACATGTAATGTGGCATCAGTAAAGAACATGTGCCAAATGCCCACGTGCAGGGTGGCTCACTGCATTGGTCTATAGACAGGGAGACCAGGCTGCAGCTGAATGTCATGGCTACGGCTGGAAATCACACATACACCTATGGAAAGTCACTGGGTACTGGCTACAGCCACTTCCCGTCGGCATACGTGTTCCTGTCAGCCATATCCAGTTGATTACGCCACAGAATTCCTGCATCCCCGAAAGCCTTCCATGTGGTGTTAGCCACCCTGTTGAATTTACACTCACAGTGTTGTAGTCAAGTTCATCACAAGTCCCTGCATGTCCTTCACGAGTCACTTGGCCTAAAGCCAAGTCTCAAGCTCTTCAAAACAAACTCTTATAAAAGCTTTCTTTTATGACTGCCACCTTGTCACTTGTGACTGGTTATTGTGAAAGGGCTTGCAGTGGACCCAACCACACCACTAGGCACTCATCAGTCATGTCTATTTGTCTGTGTGCTTTGATAGGAGGTATCATCATCTTGTACTAGTAATGATTGCAGTGGGATTCTGCCTCTAGATGATTCAGATGTTGTCCAGTGCTTGGAGGTAGGTATCGGTTTGTATTCTGCACATACATGTACCATGCATAGGAATGGATCGTGCAGTATATAGTTTCATTATAACTCCACAGGGTATCTCGGGGACATCTCACTACAGAATTATTTTCAAGCTCAACTTCAAACCAACCCCTTCCCTCATTATTTCATGTCCATGAATGGCTAGAATTTTCTTTAATAGCAGAATCTGTTCCTTAAAAAGCTGACCTTTTTCAATTTTTTTTTCTTCAGTTGATCCAAGTCTTGAAGAAGTAATGTCAAAATGCCATAATATGACAAACACATTATTTTCTGCCACTGAAGAGCCAATTTGTTTACACTTATCCAGGCAACAGAACTACCCACTGTTGCTTAGCCACTTCATGCCGGGGCATTTTTCAACGTTGATGATGCTGGGCCGGCATGACTTTCATTTTTTCCGTTTTCAAAATCCTTCAAAAATTCATCATTCCATTTAACGGTCATTTATAGCCGCACAAAGTAATCTGTAGGCATTACTC